CTCGAACCATGGCAACATGGGATGTTCCCATTTTCGAGTGGCTTCCAGTCCTTGAGGATGGGTCTGGGCCTTTGCGTGAAAGTTGTAGCCGTCAATGTTTGCTTTGCCTGGAAAGAATATTTCTCAATATCACCACTGAGAGACAGAGTTCGGAGAGCGTTCGGAAGCGTCCCAGGCACGGGCGGTGGAAGGACTGACATGGGACGTGTGCTGCTTTTGAAAAAGCAATCCGTGCACAGCTTCCATAAATTTAAGTCCCAAGGATCTCCATGTAGATCTGTGTATCTCCATCTCGGTCACCGGTCACCCCCGGCCACCTGTCCTGTGTGTCCGGTCGCTTCTCCGATCAAATTGTTCTCCGTTAAAAGGATCAACTCTGTCTCAGGAGTCGCTCTACTTCGACCATGCACACCCGAACACCGAGGCCGGGCAGCTGGGCGGCGGGTGGGAGGTCTTAGCGATGGCCTCCAAGCTAATAGCATTCTTGTTACTGGTAGTAATGCCAGGAGCTACTAGTAGCTTCTACTAGTAGCGATGCCCTTGTTACTAACAGCATCTAATACCAATGGACACCAACGAGAAGCTTCGTCATGACGAAAGCCTTTTGAGGCAACGAGCTGAAGAGCTTTCAGTTTCCGAAACGCACATCTCGATACATCTCAGGTGTAAGGCTCTTGAATGATGAATGCCCCCTTTAAAGGGGGGGCCCTTACCCGCCCTTACCATTTTTCTTGTATTGTTCAAGTTGGAGAGAGTACCAGGCAAAGCCTGTTCAGATGAGTCCTCACATTTCTCACAACTTGGCAGCGCCGGCAGGGCCAGAGACGGATGTTCGAGTGCATCGATCTATCTCTTTTTGCCTCCACAGGGGAAGACATCCCTCAACTTGTTCGGCGAAGGACTCGCCATGCTGGCTCGTGCTGCTGCGATTTTCTCTTTTGGGTCTTGTAGTGCAGCAATGGAGAGAAATTTATATAGTGTTGTTGCTCAACATTAAGATTCTTCACCTCAGCTGGAACCAGCCAGTTCAAAAGACTCTTAGAGTCTTAGAGAAGGAAACGCCACGACCAGTGACTAGTGTCAGTCAGGAGCAGCCTCTCGCAGCTTGATGCTGGAGAGCGGCAGACGAGCTACTCTTCACTTGACCAGGTAGGAACTTTGGAGTTATGGGTCTGTAACGTGCGAGAGATCGTTTGAGTTTTTTCACAGTCAGGAGAACTGTTGGTCAGAGCTGAATTGTAAATTTGCTGGAAATGATTTGCAGATGTTTTTTTCCGTGAAGTACATCCGTGAGTTATGGAAGACTCTATTGCACATTATATAACCAAGCCCATGTCGAGCTTTGCACAAACAACAGCTTGCGAGAAGGTAGTGTCTCATCATTCTCATCCACAGACAGACTGTAGACTTGTGCAAGTCATGGACATGATGTGCTTTGCCCCCTTGAATTCTCAAACTGGCCCGCAGGTTGTGCAAGTTGGTTCCTCAGTCTTGACATCAGAGATCAGATGAGCATAGCTTGTGGCTCATTTGTTTGATTTTGTATATTGTGAAATCAAGAGTACAAGCGGAACAAAGAAATCGGATGCTATCTCTCCTTGGTCTATGATTTTGTCTATGCAGCTTTGACGGCCTCGAGCGTTTGTGTTGTTTCTGCTGAGCGCTATGAGCTTCCAAACGGAGCGCAATGTTGTGACACGATTGCATGGTGAGCACCTTCGGAGTTTTCCCAGGGTGTTGCATCGAAGAATTGTCAGTTGATAGTTGACCCAGATTCAACAAACACTCTTCAAATCCTTGATTTGAGGCCTCACAACAAGAGGAGTCCACAGCGCAGGGAGCAGCAACTGGCCCTCCAGTTTTCGAGGCAAAGCTGCGAATTCGCCAGGGTTGGGCGGTGTGGACCATGGCCCCATCATGCCCCATCCATGGCCCATGCTCGATGAGTTTTTCTGGGAAGAGGATCAGGCCGGAAGAAGATTCCAAGTCTTGCAGGTATTAATGTCAGTAGATGCCATTTACAAAACATGTCCCAATAGGTCCCTGGTTAGAAATGAGAAATGGCAGATGCATGTCTGCTTCTGAATTGATTCTTGAATTGCATTGCATTGCTTGGAATCTTCCCAGAGGCACTTGCTTTTGATTTCGATCGCCATGAAACGATGGTCTGAACTGTGACCTCAGGATGGCCGCGGCTTCTCAGTCGTTCTCTGCAGGGGCGCCATCAGCATACGTGACTTGTCTCCAGGGCGCACCCAGATTCGTCCGGTGCAGCGCACGAGCAGGTCAGAGGGGAAGTAAAATTCTTTGGCAGATTTAAGGTGGGCAAACATATGCAAAAACCATTTTTGACCATAGAGATCTACAGAGTAAATCGACTTCCTGGATAGGAACAATAGAACCCACGCAGCTGGGGGATCCCATGCAGCTGTTTCATAAAGCTAGACCTGTGGTGCAGTCGACAAAAACGAGCTGCCTTTCGAGCTGCTTGAAACAGATGTACCAGAAAGGAGGTCGACACTCTCACTCAGCCTTCAGGCAACAAGACTACGCACGAATACGTGGTCTCTGCTGAGTGGAAGGAGTGGCCGGTCTTGGGTCAGATGGTCAGCTCTGTTTCCTTTGGTTGTCCTGAACTCAAGGCCGAAGAAATACAATGTAGAGAAGAGCCAAGCGACATGATGAGGTAGCGCTCAATGGTTCTACATATGTTTGAACATATAAAGGATTTTTTTGGATTCCACATTTCTGACGATGTATGATCGCCCCAAAGTTTGATCTAGTTTTGACTTGAGACCAGAGTTGTTTGATTTCGTAGTGTCCAGGAGCTTTCTGAAGCTCTTGTGGCCGCGGGCTTGCGCCCAGGAATTTATGTCTCCAGAGATGAACCCTGCCAAGGATTTTACTAGTAACAAGGACGCTACGAATGGGGCTCCTGGCATCGCTACTAGTAACAAGGTTCGCTACTAGTAACAACAGGATGTGAAGTTCAGTTTCAAGACTTGGGCGTGAAGTGTGTGTGAAGCCCCCCCATGTGATCGGTGGACAACGTCGAAAGCTTCGGGTCCGGTGCCATGACCCACTTTTCAACGCCGGCATTAGATTCAGATTTCATATGATTTCATCATATGGCCTCTTATATAATGTGCCTGGCCGGAATCTTTTTGTAAATGGCCATGACTGCGAAGCGAGGCAACATCGCTATCTTTCCATCAGTTCCGAGAACCACCAGCCAGAAAGAGCCCAAAGGCCCCAGCAAAGCATACGTACAGAGCTGAGGAATGCTGCCAAAACAATCGGGTCCTGTTCGTCAATCACGAAGGGTTGATGACCAAAAGGCAAGATTGGGAACCGGGGACGCAGAAGCAGAAGACGGAACTGGGCCGCAGCTTGAATCGGGTGGGGGTTGTTGACCGCTGTACAAACTGTTCAAAACTGCGCTTCTGATCCATAGTGCGGTTCAGAGGCTTCCAGATGACTGCTAGAATCAGAATGACCCGATCAGTTTCATCACTTGACATTTTTTCTTTTTCAGACAATATTCTGCTGCTAAGGATCACAGATAATATTACCATTGCGTACCATCTCGCATAACAAAGCCACCACTCCAACCGAAGAGACGAGGCTCCGGTCTCCCCACCTTTTATGCCCAAACCTGGAGGCTCATGTTGCCGCCTTCTGCGGATGCTCTTTATCTTCCATCCTTTCAGCCAGGGAGTGGACAAGACAGAAGCTTGTCAGGTCGGAGGCCATCGCTAGTAGGTTGGAAGCCGTTGCTACCGATTTGGTTTCAAGTTGAGCCAGAAGGTGCCTGCTTTGACCTGTATTGTGCCTTTTGTACCAACAGACTGTTTAAGATAGTTTAAGCAACTCTAACTGCATAATGCATAACTGTTTTAACTCTAGCCAAGTTTCTGCTGGAAGTTCAATTTTGTGCGACCAAGGATAGCATTGGGAGTGTCGTCTGAGCTCTTTTCTAATCGACTGCTTGTTCAGCTCCTGGTCTGAGTGTTTCCAGGGCAGGGCCAAGCCTCATGTGGTTTAGTCTTCGTTGGTCAAATTTCACCCAATGGCCAATTCATGTTTTGATTTGCTTGGACCCACCCTGACTCTCGATTCGTGTCTGTACGAGCGGGCTTGCTCACGCAGCCGTCGTTTTCTTCCAGCCTGAGTCATTTGCAGCGGGTGAATCTGAGTGCCAAGGCCAGTTGTGCCTGACCTGGCCAAGTCTTTCCCACGAAGTCCAGTCTTACTGAGCCACCAAGCCGCTCCGCAGTGCACCGATCCATCGGTCCCGGTCCGAGACCCGTACGAACTCACTGGGGCCCTTCGAACAAGAAGCTAGGGGCTCCTGGCCTTGCTACGAACGGAGCAGGGACGCTACGAACGGGGCTCAGTGGGTACGGTTTGTTACCGGACTTCGAACATCCGTTTGCAGGTCTTAGGACTCTTAGGACCTCACCTCTGGCACTGCAGAGGATTGGTGGCACAAGTTCAAGGGCCTCAAACGAAAAAAGGACATGTTATTTTATGCTGTTGAGGATGGGCAAGAGGGTTTTCCTATCCACCTATATATATCTATATTAATCCTATCCTACATATAATTAGGTATATTAAGGTCAGATTCAGGTTGTCCCTGCAGCTGCTTGCCAACCCTCGAAATAGTTGACAGCAACTTTGAGGCAGTGACCAGCAAGCAATCCGTAAATTTTTAAAGTTCCCGATCTCTGCAAAAAATAATCGAATGCCTGACCTTTGGAGGTTTGTGCGTGATTGGGCCGGCTGCAAGTTACAGTTATTTTTTTGGTTCGTTGTTGCAGACATAACATTGTGTATATATTGTGTATATATATATATGTGTGTGTACAAGTATATTCACCTCAATGGTTCAGCTCTGAACTCACTTCTTTTGCTTGTCACCTTGGCACAATGGTTCCCTTCACCTTGTCTTGATGCAAAGTCATGTGTGCACATCTCCATGCATGACTTTCTGGATTCAGCACAAGCCAGGCACACATAGCTACGACCAGAACTCCAAGTGCATCGTCACAAGCGTCTTCTCCAAGAAGAGGACGGTTCTTCCGGCCGCCCACGGTTCTTCGGGCCTTACACGGTCTCTCAGAGGTTCGCCGGTTTGGATGTTGGAATTCTGCGAGGGAATTTCGTGTCCAAAGAATGACCTCTCTTCAGCCCTTAGGAACAAGTGCATCGCTTCTAGTAACAAGTGCCTTACTAGTAGTAACAAGAAGCCACTAGGGGCTCCTGGCCTTACTAGGAGCAAGGACACTACTAGGGGCTTTCTTCAGCCCTGACCTTAAACCGGGCTTGACACCGGTTCCACCGGCTTTGATGCCTTCCTCCCGACCGTGCCACGGCCGACGCCGTGCCGCCATGCCACACAAAAGGGGTCCTGCGGAGTGGCACGAAGTTCACAAGATTTCACCAGTTCATGTGCAGTTGAGCACCGCAAGAAACCTCCCAAGATGAACTAAGTAAAGGCCTTGTCATATGGAACTTGGGCGTAAGCAAAAACCTGAAGAGCGTAAGGTTGCGTAAGGGAGTTGTGAGACATGCATGTTGCGTAAGCTTGCCATATGGTTGTGTTTTCCCCAACTGTTGGGGATTACAATTGTTTTTTTTGCAGGGTATCCGCGTTGAATTTCCGCGGATGACTTTGATGAGGACATAGAATGCGTTGGAGTGCTTATGCATGCTTAAAGACATTGATCATACATTTGCCATTGTTTCTGTTTAAGTGAAGGTGCAGTTTGTAGAGGTTTCTGGCAGGCAACCAAAATCGGAGTATATACATTTGATGCGTTTTCCAAGTTTCCAAGGGTGTGCTTCATCGCGCTCTTCTGAAAGACTTAAACTAGACGGCAGGCAGGGTAGAATACGGTGAAGTAGAGTAGGACTTTTTGTCATATCCTGGCCTAAGCCTTAGCTAGGAATATTATTGTCTATGAGCTTCGAAGCTCCAGACCTTTCTGGTAGACTACATATCCAGCTTTGCTTTGGTCCACTACTCATCAATGTGCTGTCGTGCTTCTTCTTTTCTCAACATTCAATCATTCAGGAGCTGTAGCCTCGCCACTCTCTACTGCACTTCCTGTACTTTCTGAACTTTAGGATCATGAATCACTTTACACTACAATATTCAGCCCTATCCTGCCCTGCTTACTTTACTCTTCTTTGTCCAACCTTGCTTTGACTCAAGTTCACCCCACCACCCGCCAGACTCTATTCTTCGTCAATCAATGTTGTCAATCTATGATTCCGTTTTTTCTCATCTCTCTCTCTCTCTCTCTGTCTGTCTGTCTGTTTGTTTGTCTGAAAAACTTTTGCAAAGGAGAGCCGAATACTCTTGGCAAGCCTGGAGGAAATTCGAGTAAGCTAGACATATCATGAACATTCATGCACTATATTGAATTACTTTTTACTGAACTTTATTGAGCACTTCGTGATTTATATTAAGATATCAAGTGTTTGTTCTTCCATGCTGTTCTATTTGTCTAGGAGCCAGCAGTGCTGCAGATCGTCAGGCATGAGCCTTGGAGAGAAAGCTCGGCGCAGCATGGATTCAAGTCGGCTCTGCTGCGGGTTCCCTTGTTGTTCATGTTTTGATTATTTGATTTTTTTTTTTTAAATATATATAGTTCAATTTATTTCTCTCATTTGCAGAAAAGACCTGAACATGTCAAGAAGCCAAAGAGTCTCGGTTCCTACCCCTGTGTGGATTTCAGGCCCCGCGTGATGATATGCTTTCTGTTTTTAAATATGCGATCATCCAAGCTATCGACTGTCCGTTGGCCCATTGGCGGCCAAGGTGGCAGCAAAGCGAGTGTCCAATGGCTTTGGTACCAGCCTTGACTGCTGCTTGTTTTACTCATTTGTCACTCCCGGACCAATTGGTGCACAGATTGCTTTGTGGAAGTGTACAGATGTGTGGAAGAGACAATAATTACCTACTTCTGCTTTAGAAGCAGGACAAGAACAGCGAGATCATGCCAAGGTCCTTCCACCGTGGAGTCTGACTCCAAATTGCATGTGGCAGAGGTTGGGACAAACTTGTGAAATGAACGCGTCTGCAGATGTGTTCCTCAAAGTCGGAATATTTGCAGAACACAGAGAGGACAAGACGGAAACGAGAAAGGTCTAAATAGTCTAAAGGTCCACGCAAAGCCATGGTGCTGTGGCCCTGGAGGTTTGCTGTGATCTTGAGTCTGAGAGACAGACGCACCGGCAAGATCTCAGACAAAGCATTCAAAGGCACCGAGCAACCGTGGCAAACGGCGGTTTGACTATTAATAGTTGTTCAGAATCCACGTTTGTTGGGGACAAGAACATTGTTCGATCAGGGCGCTGAAATTCCTGATGCAATGAATGGTGCTGGGTGGGATCCATAAACATTTGTCTTGCAACATGTCAGACGCATTATGAGCTATATATATAATTATATAAATTGCTCAAGAGCACGCGATGCAACCGCATCGAAGAGTGGTGTTATAGCAGTGCAGTCTACTGTATTCGGTTGACATGAGGGGGCGTTGCATCCAGAGTACTTTTCAATGCGTTTGATGACTCTTAGTTCCCTTTGACGTGGAACATGTGGATGTTGTGGGTGTAACATGTCCTATTTGATCTTGCTCGTGAAAGAAGGAATTCCAAGTCCTCCCACGGAGGGTCGCACCCCGCGCCTTGTCCGCGACCACGCGGGACGACCTTCAGCTCTCTTGACAGTCATAGGCTCCCAGACCGAAGCTGGTGTCATCAGGTGACCTGTAAGCGAAACGACACAGAAGACTCCAGTCGACAGAGCGCCACTGAGACAGATCGATTTTTTACAATCGCATCATGTCAATTTGCAGCATCGGTTTCTGATGATCCCATGGTCCCATGGAATTGCGCGCGTGCTGCGGGTGAATGCTGTTGCTTTGATTGGCAGCGATGCTCAAGCCACGCGCGAACTTTTTAAGCTTCTAGACGCAGGAGCAGCATCAGACTACAGATATGCCAAAGCCTTGCTACAAGGCAGGCCGTCCTTGCCATGGTTAAGAAGTTGGCAAGAAAAAAGTAGCTTGGAAGCCCAGTCATTAATATTTTTGTTGGGCTAATCATTCAAATCACATAGCGGCTTGATATTGCTATTTGGCCATTTGTCGTATCCTCGTTTCCTGTCTCTAGTCGATTTGAAACAGTTGAGGAGCAGACCCCCAACTGTATTGGGCTCATCCTTTGTCGCATGCATCTGGCGCCCCAGACTTGTACACGCCGCTGAGCAGTGTCTTGTTAGCATCGCCACGCCATCGTTTGGCTGCAATGCTACAGAAATGGGGCTTGGCAGAGGCCTTCCACACCGGTGTGGCAGGTGTTCCACCTGAGGCAGCAGTCACTTCCTTGTCGCACAAGAAAGCGGCCTTGCAGTTCTTGGAGCTTCCGGTCACGTCCCTTGGAGGTCAGGGTCGAGTGTCGAGTGGTGTTTCGGATTGAAACTTTGATCTTCGGTTGGGACCGGGACCACAGACTTGGGGTCAACATATTACCTTTGTATACCTTTGTTAGATTTTGGACATCAAAGACAGCACACTCGCAAGTGTAGGTGTACACTCGCACAAAAATCCGGAGGCCTAACTGCCAGAAGAGTGAAGGACTTGGGGAGAAGCTTATAAGCTACTAGTAACAGGTGCATCGCTAGTAGTAACAAGTGCCTTACTAGTAGTAACAAGAAGCTAGTAG